TTCAAAAATTAGTAATATAAAATATGACAATACAGAACAGATACAAAATTTGTTCTTTGCAAGTATAAAAAAATGTGCATGTAATATTTGCTAAATATGTATACAAAAGCAAAGAATGTAATAAACCTTAGACAATATTGACCAATCTGCTTGCTCCTGTTGTATCCAGAAACAATATTTATATACCATTTGAAAGATTGTAACAGCTTTCCTTGTATATTAATCTTAAAAACTGAAGCAAAAGAAAATCAACCCCACTCTCAGAAGATTCAAACACCTGTGCATATATTGTTAATGAACAGATGGTATGCTAAACTTTGGTATGTATGATCTTTGACCTTATAGGAAAGTTTTGATATAAATTAAGGACAAATTGAACTTAAAAGCTATTAAATTAATTGATGATTATCAGAATTAACAAGTCCCTAACACTGAAAATGGAAAAGTGCTATGTGTAATCAGTTATGTGACATATGTCAGAATCCTCGCTTAAAAAAAAAAAAAAAAAAAAAAAAAAAAAAATGGAGTTAAAAACATGAAAACACTGTCCTACATAAGAGGTAAGATTCAACTATGATGTTTCAGCTGTCATTCATCCCAAGCTTGTAAATGTACTGAGACACAGAAATCAATAACTTAGTCATTAATTTTAATATCATAATCTGATGGCACAGAAAGGCACATCTTAGATGAGAGGTAAGACCTTTGGTAGCAGGTTACTTTGCAGGCTACCAGAGACAAGACATCTGAACAGAAAAAAAATATAAAGTTTCCTGACTTGCTGATTTTTGCCATTTTCATTTTAATACTTTTCTGTGTTTAACAATAAAAGCTAGTTACTAATACCACATTTAAAATTTTCTTATGAAATCTTTGTAATCTTTTAGTGGTATGGTTTGTTTCTTTAGGTAAACTATAAATCAAGTCACTTTTAATTTTTCACTGTATGGAGAAATGCAACATACTTTATATATATTTTGATATATTGTTTATAAAATAAATTATTAAACAGATATTTATATTTTCCTGTAGTTTAAATAAGGCTTTAAAACAGTTTGAAGATATAATTTTTTTTTTTTATATGATCAATTCAAAAAGTTTCATAAACATAATGACATGTAAAATACATTCCCCAGTATATTAAAATTCTAGAAGCTCATCTAACATTCATTTATAGGACTAATATTGCAATCATATTCAAACTATTTTAAGGGTTACTTTAATATATCACATACAGGATGTGTCAGGTATGTGAGAAAACTTGTTTAGTGCGCCATAAATGAAAGATAAGCTAATGTACTGTTATGCAGCAGGTACCAAATTTTACCATTCATTTTCAAACATGTCAACATGGTATGTTGTGCTTATGACACTAGCCACCAATCAATGTGACTCAGAGATAGCCAGCTTCTTGCATTCAAGGTCAGTCACAAGCTAGAGGTCTCTGGTGGGTAACATTTGAAACATTCTAAGCAGTCAGACATTAAAGTTCATCCAGCAGTTTCTATGTGAATTTTTTGGATGAGGGGTTACATTATTTAGACATAGATTATTGTCTTCATGTGTTATCACATTTTGGTTATTTTGCTCTCTGGCTTTTATGCTCATTTATTGGTAGCCTTGTTTCCACTAAGTCTGAGTATACTAAACAGCACAGGAGTTGAACACACAATTACTGTATTACCAAATTCCGAAGCCAACACTTTCATCAACTAGGGTATGTTTCAGTGACAAATGGAGCTAGCAATAATTGAGCAATACTTAAAAGAAAAAGTAAGAGACAATATATCAGAGACATAGACAGCAGAATGAGAACATTAACATTTAGTTCTAACAATGGGTTCAACTCAAAAAATTCACAGACACCTGAAGAAAGCCAGAAAGCACAAGGGTCAAAATATGACAACAACAGAGAAATTAATCTACAAATTTATATAATCTACAGAAGTAGATTATTCACATTCTACTACCCATTTCTCGGAATATCTTGTCTCATTCTTATTTTTTGTACTATTCAGTTATTGGTTGATCCATTTCCACAGAGTCCAAGTTCTTCATTAGTACTGCTTGCCCTATTTTCACTGAGTCAACATACACTGCCTGGCCCACGGATTGAACTCAATTATTATGTCACCAAATTCCAAATTGTCCCACGAGACCATAGTGGATGGTCCAACTCATGAATTAAAGTTGCAATTACTAGGTCACCAAATTCACAAACCAACACTATAATCCACTATGGTCTCATGGGACAATTTGGAATTTGGTGACATAATAATTGAGTTCAATCCGTGGGCCAGGCAGTGTATGTTGACTCAGTGAAAATAGGGCAAGCAGTACTAATGAAGAACTTGACAAGATATCCCAAAACATGGTCATTGAAATAAGAACAATTAACATCTATAGATTAAATAAAGGGTTCAATTCTAAATTCCCTGAAGGTTACCTGGAATGAAAAATGCTTGATGAAGGCCAGAGGGAAAACAATTGAAACATTGTGATGATAAAGAGGAGTACAATAGTCCACATGTAAATAATTAATCTAGCAGGTTCAGGATATCAACTTCAAAAAGTCCTGGAGGGCTATTGTATTCAAGTTGGCAGAGTCCGCTATCAGACGTGGTGCACAAAAAAAAATCAGGTACCAATTCTGTGTGATAAAACAAGGGTAGTTGATAATTGATAAGACAAAGGGTAACTGTGATTCAATTGAAATGCTTGCTGAACAAGTTTAAGCATCCTAAATAATCCACCAAAACCCCTATATATAAGTGCTAAACTCAGTGGTCACGCCCTAGATTGAGGGAGGGATCTCGCTCTATATGACTTATGTGACTATAGAGTAGCAAGTGACAAATTTTCACTTGCATGTTGCATGCCCCCACCCCTATCTTCTAACTATTGATTTGTATCACCAAGATTACTACATCCAAAGCAAACCAAAAGGGAAATCAACCAGCTGCTCTACAACACCAAAAAATTCATTGAAGGTAACCTTCATAGATATGATGACCAAATGAATTGAAACCACTTGGTCCAGGTATAAAGTGGCTTCTCAGGCTACAAAGCCATCCTTGAGGACAAGAATAGTTTATTTAATAATCTCTTATTGATTTTATAAGTTGAACATGTATACAATTTTAACAATATACTTATATTTTCTATTGAATATCTTTCTAATATTATGTTTCTTTAAATGTATAAGTTTTTTTTTTTTTGTTTTTTTTACTTTTTTTTTACTAATTTTTCACCAGATATAAAGACCCAAGAGCAATTCAATGCAGATTGTTACTGAATGAAGTTATAAAAGTGAAAGAAGAGGACTTAATAATTTTTTGTGGGTACACATATCGACATCCTTGTTTTTGATTTTTTAAAAAAAGTGAAATTAATATCAAATGGCCAAGATCAAGGAGAGGTTTCTCTGATGGAAAGAGGGGATACAGGTTCAATTCCTGTTGGGAGGCACATTTTTCTTTAGTAGGACTTCTTGATATAGACCAGTTGACATTCATTTCACTGTTTAAAGAAAAAAAACCAAAAAAAACAAAACAGATGTCAACTTAAACACATGTACCCATTAAAAATAAAGTTTATAGTAATAAGACAGGCATGTGGATACTTATTCCTGTAACAATACAAAAGTAAACAGATTGGTCAAAAATTAAAGTATGCATTTAATATCTTAATTTTTGCAAATGAGGAAAATTTGTATGCCATGACAAAGTGGACAAATGGATGAATGTCCACAAATGAAGAAGCACATCTCAAAAGATATCTGGTATATGTTAAGGGCGGTCAGATTTTAGTTTAGACAATGTCAGACTGATTCATTGACATATTTTCCTCCTATTGTTGAAGAGAAAAACAAAAACCAGGCATTCATAAAATATACAAAAATAACAAAGGAAGATAACACCACCTTTGAACATTTTTATCATGATTTGTTTAAAAAAGAGAGAAAAAAAAAAAAAAAAAAAAAAGTTTTTTGCTTTTTTAATTGAAGGCAGCTGAAATTGCAAATGACTTCATATGTGCTGCTTACCACATTTAGCAGTAAACATTCCCATAAATGTCTCATAGCTGTGGCAAAGCATGCAATAAAGGAATTTTGTTAAAACAAGAAAAATATTTTATTTAGCAAACTAAAATTTACTATCCATAACTTTTCTCAAACTTATGGACAGTAAAATTTCTAAACGGAAATTTTATTGCAAATTAATTGCTGTGGAAATTTATTCAACTATTTTTAAAACTTAAAAAAAAAAAATCTAAGAATTTAAAAATGTAAAACTTAGATCATACAAAAATAATTCAAGCAAATCATTTTTTTTTTCTTTAAAATTTGAAGAAAAGGGATCAAATTTTACATAACATTTAAAACCAGCCTTAATATTTATTAAAAGAAAAAAATTGCTGGTAACAGCAAGACTTTAAAATCATAAAAAAATATTAAGTAACTACACAAAACAAAATATAAATAAACAAATAGAAATTATAAAATTTCTTGTACAGAACAATTGATTTACACTTTAATTTCTGGCACCCTTTTTCATGGAATAGGTCATATGATGATTTAAGTAATAAAAAAAAAATTTAGTGGAAAATGAATTTATGGATTTTATACATTTGTCATTATACTAAGATAAAATATAAATATATATATATATATATATATATATATATATATAAAATACTTTTTGAATATGACATTGAAACCAACAAAATCAAACTGATTGCATTTGCAATAAAACCATCAATAAGAAAGATATGTAAAGATTCTACAATATGTAAGCAGTTTGATGATTTTGTTTCAGTTGAACAATGATCTATATATGATTGATTGAAAAAAAAAAAAAAAAAAAAAAAAAAATAAAATTTTTCTTTCAAATAAAAAAAATTTTAAAAAAATGGAAAGGAAAAACCCTGCTAATTCGATCCTTTTTTTTTTTCTCTCCATACCACACTTTACAAAAAGATAAGAATTGCCTAATATTTTTTCATGGTAACACACTGTCGTCTTCTGAATCCGATAACAGTGATGTTTGTGTGTGGTGAGCTGGGGTTACTGAATATTTGAAACCTGCTCCATGAAATGTCATGTGTTTACGTTTCAAGAACCGATGCTGCCGACATGCCCCAACACCAAAGACAACCACCAATGTGACAGTCAAAGCCAGGACAATAATATCTAAAAGAAAAAGAAAAAGGAACATTTAAAAAATGGTTTTGAAAATCCCTCCAAAAAGCAGATTAAATTGTCAAAAAAAATCTAAAATATCTAATTTTCAATCTAGTGTATCCAAAACATTGTTTAAAACAGAAATTCTTTTATACTAATGGATAACATCAGTAATCAAATAACTTTATCCAACTTCTTTTTAAATAAATTATTTTGAATTAAATCAGGCATAATTTAAGAAATCAATCTTTTTTTTTTTCCTTTTTAATAATATTTTTAACAGAATTTAGCTTATTATTAAAGACATAATGAACTCAATAGGCAAATGTTTCTTGGCAAAGACATGAATCCACTTCGTTCCACCAACCAAGAGTAAAATAGTAAGGTAGACTAGACCTTTTAGCCTTTGAAGGGCAATCAATTTAGGAAAAAGACAACTGAATTCAAAACCATGTAGAAGATAAGAAATCACTCCACTATCTTTTTCTAAGAACAAGTTTGGCAATGCACAATTTATAGATACAAAAGGAAGCTGTGACGAGCCATGATTGCCCATGTACTGAAGGGACAGCATTTTCTTTCGAATAGTGTTACAATAATAAAAAAAAATTTTTTTATTTACCTTTAACTTTCAAAAAAAAAAAAAAAAAAATAAATAAATAAATAAATAAATAAATTCAGTAAGAATAAGAATGTAAGAAATTTTTTTTAAATTTATAAGTAATATTACATATTTTGACAATTTAATCTTTCAAAAATGTATATTAAACTTCTTTAAAAGAAATATCTGCTTTCCTGAAAAGCCTTTCCATGAAGACAGAGATCTCAATGCAATAATTTTTTTTTTTCTTTAGAAAGAAGTATACTCTTATTTTTAACTGATATTCTGTAAATGTTGTTTAAAGTTATAAGAGAGAGAATATTATTAATACTCATCTTGCAGTCATTCTTAGTATTGCCCAATTTCTATTTTGGAGGTTAAATTACTGCTGACCCCGGTCCCTTAGTTAAAAGAAAGTTCAGATCTGTACATAAGTCATGCTAGCCATAGGAATGATCAAATTATTTTCAACAATAGACAATTTTTATACTTTGTAAACAAAACCAAATGAAAATCAGACATCAAATTGATACTTAATCTTCAGGCTTTTCAGTACAAGTATACAAAACTAACCTGATAAAGAAAAAACACTAAGGACAAAGCAAAGAGGGAAAATGTTTTGGAATCATTTTTAGGATATAAAGATTACAGCAATTGAACTCACATGTAATAAATGTTGTGAAACTCTCGTTATCCACCGTTTCGAAAAGCGAGCTCACAATTTTTAAAGTGCCATTGTTTGGAGCTGGTTTCAAACGGAGAATAGCGCACATCATGGGGTACAAATCAACACTGTTAAATATGTCAACTGAAGCATTTTTTTTGAAGCTGGGACCAGTTGCCATAAAAAATGGATGCATATCTGGAAGAGAATTGTTGTAACCATGTTCCCCAAGTCCTAGAATAGAAAAAAAGAGATAGTAAAGGATTTATCTAAAATATATTCACATTAGAATAAATGAAAGCAAAAAACAAAAATTGGTGTGTGTGTGTGTGTTTAGATACACACACAATTATGTGATTGACACAAGAAAAAAAAAAAAAAGAAAAAGAATGATCACCATTTGTCTTTGCTTTCTTGGTCAATACTGAAAAGAAATTTTTGAATTGGCATAGATATTTATTGAACCCATATAAATAGTTGCCCCAAGATGGTTTCAATGTGAAAGTTGGAAGAAACACTGAAGCTGCTTCAAAGTACACACTGAAATACAACCTCTACAATTTCATAATAAATAAAAAGTCATGATTTGTCTAAAAACCTAAATTTTAATATAAAATCTTCATTGTATAAAGTCTGATCTATACAATTAATATTTATCAGTGAACTAAGGACATGAAGGAAGATTATTTATGTAAAAATGTATTTTTTTTTTTATATTAACAAGTTGCAAAATTATTGACATATCAACATGTGTGCATATATCTTGTAAATAAAATTTATATGTATGTCACTACCAGCAAGTTGCAACCAGTCTAACAGCAACTAGCAAATTACAGAAATAACTAAGCAACATTAATCACGCACTCACTGATTTCTTTTGTAACCTGATAAGTTTTCAAATTATTCACTTCTATCAAGAAATTATGAGATCCAAGATATATAAAAACTTAAAGTTTGTCATTATCATGGCAGTGTTTTGGCATCTAAAAGAGATGAATGGAATCATTAAATTAATTTTTCATGAGCAAAAAAAATAAATCAAGCAAAACTGACATATGTGAAGACAACAGTGGAGATTATATATATTACAATAATAAAAAAAAAGAACAGTAAGATATATAATCTGGTGCTCTTATTGATATTTTTATTTTTACAAAACAGTGCTCAATGTAAATTTACAGAGCATAAATATTATAAAATACTGATTTAAAATATGGTTTCTTCGCTACACAGGAATTACCATGCTTCAAAAATCGAAGCTAAAAACTTCAAATTTAATTATATAATTAAATTTGAAGCATTAGTTCTGTTTCATCTTCAAGTGAATTTTGGAAAATATATATATATATACATAGAGAATTTGTCTCAGCAGGCACCCACCTGGTTTAAGTGTGTGATCCCACTCCTAAATAGTTGATCCTACTAACCAGGAAACTACCCCCAGGAAGATTCAGAGACCCTGTTTTTCCAACAGTATGATCCTACTTCCTTACTTCCTTTTTAGAACAATATCTCAACCTCTTATGATTTCTCCATTTTTTGCTTGCTTTTTATCTCTAAACCACAAACCATAATTTCTACATATCACCAGTGACAATTGTGAACATACATTCAATTCTCAACACAGAAAGAATAACCAGACCAAGACCTACCACACATCTAAACATTAAGATTTTGTTAGTTTTTGTCAAATAATAAAGTTGAACTAAAAACTGTCTTTGTTCTACTTGTTTCAGCTATTGTTACTTTTTCTTTTATGAGGTGGACATTATTATCAACTCTGCAACATGTATATATTTGCATGTATGAGCTGTGCAATGATTAACCACAGCCAACAAAAAGGAAAAAAAAAAATTTGAGAAACAAATTCATTATAATTTTATTCAAAAGCTGAAGGACAAGTTTCTTCACTTTAATCTTTATATACTTTATTTTGTTTAGAACATAAGACATAATGCATGGTTGTCAGCAACATATTGGGGAAATCAAAATTAAGCTGGTATAGAAATTTAACTATCTGGTAGTTAGACCACAGAAAGTGTGACATACAGGGATAGCAAAAGAGGCTTTTCAGAAATGGGCAAAAATGTTAAGAGATAGAAAAATGTCCTTAGAAACATAGAGAGTACTGAATAGCAATGTAATACCCAATCCCTCAAGTTGCAGTGAATGGTGGTCAATCTCTTCACAGATAAAGAGACTAAAAGCAAAAATGATATGATTCTACTGACAAATGATGAGAATACCATGGATAGAGCATGCGAGTTTCAAAGATAACAGAAACCATACAAAAAATATCCGATCTGAAAAAAAGAGACAACTGAAGAAGCAAGAGAATTTAACTCTCAGAGAACATACTAAAGACAAAAGAAATGGAGGTGGGGCAAATAACCATGTCATATATTGCAAAGAGAAGACATTTTCAAAACAAGGTTAACTCCATTAGTCATATTGAGGCTTGACTTTAAGGAAAATCTTAAATCACACACACAGCTGTAACGGTGACTTTTCAGAACTTGAGATACCCTAAATATTAGATAAAATATAGATATTCCTTTTAGTTTCAATATAGAGGTGAAGATTGAATTCAGGATTATTGAGGAGCATCCTAGAGACTTTCAATGAATGTTATGGCAACTACACTTGCCTGAATGTCCAATCCAATCAAGCAGTTATGGAACATAGTTATCTAGTCAAAATCATGGAGCTGTGGACATCTATTGAAACAACATGGCTTAACATCTCTTGAAAAGTCTTTCAACCACTTGTTGAATTAATGCCCTGTTGATTTACTGCATTTAGCCAAGCTAGAGGATGTCCTACGTGACACCTATTCTATGACTTTTGGCACATCAGTAGAGATGTCCAGGAGTGCAGTAATGGCAAAAATGAAACTATAGATAAGCTTTAAGGCAGATTACTATTAATTTCATTCAGTGCCAAAAGATGAAAATGTTTTCATGACTTTACCAGTTAAACACCAAATGACTTTATAAATAAAGTATGTTCCTTTAGAATCCCCAAGTGAATTTTACTCATTTCTTTTGAAGATTTATAATCATTTATAAACCATAAAAAGAAATCAATCAATAATCATTTATCCAGAAAAAACAATGTATTGAAAATAATTAATAAAAGCAAAGAGTGGCACAAAATGACACTGAGTTATGACAATGCAAAAATCAACATCTTGCTAATATACAAAATGAACTGATAAGTTAATTACTAGACTTGTAGGCATTTACTGAATTTTGATCTGAAATTTTCCCTTTATGTACTTCAATTCTTGCTGGGTGGACTTACAAAAGCAGATATACCAAAGTGTGCTACCATAAAGCAATTACAAGAGAAATTTTACAACGTTAGTTTGGTACATGCTAGCAATTGTGAGTTACTTAGTGATGATCAAAATAGCAATGATCGGAATAACTACTTTGCCAACTATTTCTCTACAGTAAGTGGCTTTGTGTATATACAAAGATGAATCCGTAAGTCCAATGCAGTTGAAAAATATTTGTGTAAAAAATACATCAATCTATCATTAGGTGATAGAGTTATTTACAGAGGCTATGTAAGTAAATGAGTGTTGTAGGCATGAAGAACAATAGTCCATCAGTATCAATGTAAGTGATTCCTTGCAAATGCCAAATTCTATACACATGAAAGTGCCTCCATTACCTAATACATTTGTAATGGTATGGAAACAGTTGTTATTCTGTTAGAAGGAACAAAACATTTTTATGGTAAACATCTTCAGGATTCTAAAATAGGTGACAATTTTTACAGTTTTTTTTTTACCTGTCTTGGTTATACATGAATTTGTAAATTGTAGCAAAATTACTTACCTCTGTAAGTTGTATTATGTGAGGTAAGTGAATAACCTTCATTAGGCACCACCAACAAAGGTTGGATACGTCGGTTGTGTTTGTAATGATAATCTTCAGGAATTTCCTCCTTTAAGTATACCTTAATATAAGGAAGGGATGTCAGGTTGGCTTTCAGTTCTTCAGCAGACACACCTAGAAAAGAGAGAAAAGTCAAAATGTTTAGAAAATGTAAAGATTATTAAAATATAGAAAGGCTCACGACAACAATGCACACTCAGCATATCGTTATATTCTTTTTTTAATGCCAAAGACAAACTTGTTTTTGTAAATATTGTTTAGTGCATCTTAGTGTATGTTTCACATGCTGCTTTACTTATAGTAGTATTTTTGATAAAGAAAAAGAGGAATGCTTTAAAAAATAAAAACTCCAGAAAGGGCCAACTCTTCAAAATAAATATTTCTAAATTTATCAGTGCATAATAATAACAATAATAATAATAATGCTGTGGTAAAACTTCACACAATCCTAACCCAAAACAGTTATATATGTAGACATCTGTCATTCTCAGGAGATTATAGAGTTTACTAGGATGACTAGCTAATCTCTATAGCAGATGCCTTCTCAGGGATATTTTTAATGTTTCTTCAATGGCAGCAGGGATATTTTTATCTTTCTTCAACCTGAATGAATGAACTTTAGTTACAGTTTCTGGGAAAAAGTATATAATCTGTTATGATCAGTAGTTGAACAAGGCCAGTATGCTCAAACTCTTAGTCACAAACACTTGTGACTTCCTACTAGCACAACCATCAACATCTTTGAACATATGAACATTAAAAAACTAATTTTTGATACTAAAAATATTGGAACTAACAAACATATATACAATGCATCTAAATACATATAGTCATGTGTACAGGTTGTGTGACTAGTGTTTGGTTGCTTTTTATTATGTGCAGAACAAAGTTTAGAAAGTGCATTGGAGTCATGAAGGATAATTCCTAAAGATAATTATAATGGGGTTGGTTTACCAAATAAGTAATTAGCATAAAGAGAGCTATAACTATAGCTCACAGACAACTGAGTCAGTGTACATAGGATATCTATGGCTACTAAGTTTGATCACAACAACAAAATAGCATTGCCTGATGGAGCTCTGTTGAACACAGAAGAACCTGAAAATGTAAAGATCTGGATAAAATGCTTTGAGGTACGTGCCAGAATAAAGATGTTACAAGATGACCAAACACTTGGAGGACAGAAAATCATGGATTTATTTTTGGCCACTGTGTGATGTGAAGTCATTGGGCAGATTTCATTAATGACTTATCCGGCTGAAATTGAAAACTTGACATTTAAGAAAGTCAAAGAAATAATATTGAGAAATATTCAGCAAAAAAAAGATTGGTCATAGCCAAACGAACAAAATTCTTAGCATTGAAACAAGAATTTAGGGAGCCTATAAGGAAATATCTAAGAAAGTTAAGAGATACCAGCAGATATTGTGAATTTCATGAACTAGGACAACAAGGAATAAGCACAGAGGGAGTAGTAATTCAATTCCAATTTGTACAAGGACTGTACAACACCACTTATAGAGTAAAGATTTTAGAGCAGTTACAGACAAATCAAATGACTTTAGAAGCTTGGACTGACTTCATACAAGTAGTTAATTAAAAAATTTAATACAAATGAAAACCAACCTGAGCTTATGGACATGTGTGATAAAAACAACACCTTCACAAATATTAAATTAAATAGTGTAGACTTAAAAATACAAGTTGAAACAGGAAGCAAAGTGACCCTTATTCCAGAGAATTTTTGGGAACAATTATCAAAACTAAAATTAAAGAAAAGCTTAGTAAGTTTAAGACAGTTTCATGGAACATGTATAAAAATATTAGGGTCCTTTCAAGACACTTTTGAAACAAAAAATAGATTTGAAACCATCTCTATTATGGTTGTAAACTGTATAAAATGTCAGTTTAATAGAAACTGATTTAATAAATATTAATAGCACATATTTACTTAATGCTATGAATACAGGAAGTCCCAAAACTGGGACATTAAAAATTATAAAGCAAGCCTTAAGTTAAAAAGAAATATCAATCCATTGTATTTTGAAAGCTGTAGACTTCCCATTTATATAAAGTTAAAGGGATTTTACAAGCTTTAAAAAAATGGTAGAAGGCATTATTCAATATGTAGAACCTGGAGGCAGCAAACAGGCACTGTCTATTGTGGTTTTAAGAAAACCTGATGGTGATTTTAAAATTTGTGAAGATTACAAAATAGGCTTAAATCATAAGATTTGTTCAGATTTCTCCCCTATTGAAAACATACTATATTCTCCTTACCATCCTCAATCAAATGGGATTGATGAATGAATGGTCCAAACAATAAAAGGTGGGATTGAAAACATTTTCTTCTCTGCAAAAAAAAAAAAAAAAAAAAAAAAAAAAGATTGAAACTTTCCTACCAAGATTTTTGTTGAGTTACAGAACAATACTGACAGATTAGAGAGCCTGTCTGCATTAATGGGCAGACAGATTAGAGCTCCATTAGCCATGTCTTACTCTATTAATGAAAACACATGGTACAAAAGAAATGAAGAAAACGGGCTGGGAAAGGTGAATTTCATAATGCATCATGGCATTAATATTCAAAAATGGTAAAAATATTGTTCATGCAGACCAGTCAAGAGCTAGCCAAAATTACAAAGAAGTACAAAGCAAAGCTAGTTCAAATGACTATGTAGATAAACAAGAAAGCAAGTAAGAGGAATCAATAGACAAAGTTCTTTGGAAGACTTGGAGTACAAAACATGGAAAACTGAGAATAAAAAAAAAAACAAAAAAAAAAAAAACCCCAAAAAACAAACTAGATCAGGGACCTCTATAACAAGAAATACTCGTAAAACCAGTGAGAGGGGGAGAGAATGTAGAAGCCATATACCCATGCAGGGCATGGAACCCAAAAGATTCAGTCTATATAGGATATCTATGGCTACTAAGTTTGATCATCATAATAATCTTCTGAGTCATTCCCAATGCTTATTGTTGAGAAATACCAATTTCTCTTGAAATTTGTTTATGGCAATTAGAAGATTGTTCAATCAAAGGTCAAAGAACATACAAGACAATGTTGATATGCTATCTGACCATCATGTTCTCATTGGACAATCTTCAAATTATAAAGCCATTATATATGGGGGGGGTGCAACAAGTGCTGGTTATAATTGTACATCAAGAAACACTGAAGATATATTGACACTTATCTTAACTTTTGGTATCTGGTGTAACTAAATACATAACCTAGACTCATGCAACTTTCTATTGCTTATGTTTTTATTTAAACTGCTATTGATTTGAAATATCCCACATTGTAATAGCAGTAGTTTGTTAGGAGAGGAGATATGTTGGATGACCCAAGATACAATGTTAGAGTGGAAAACTGAAATTAGTGCACTTTCAATACATTTTGCCATAATTTACTTTATTTTCAGCTTTTCAGCAGAGATATCAGTCTTATAGAAAGTATAGCCATATTTTTATAGAAGTTAATTTGTAATTGTTAGAGAACAGCTAGTTTACGAGAGAGTAAACACAATGTTGTTGAACATTATTTTCTACAAACTAAATAAATCTGTGCCCATTTTCAAGGAATCAAGTACAAAGTATAGTTTGAACAAGAAAACCACTTAATACAACACCTACTTAATAGTAACAAAAAATCCAATTACCACACATAAATTTGGATGTCTTTGGTTGTTATGTTCTTTTCAGAGTGATATTTTAGAATACCTTACCACCAACCACACCTAAAATACAAAAACATACAGAGTAAAGGATAAATGTCATAGGCAACAAGCCAAATTGGAGGAAGGAAGTTTGCCAGTTGTGAAGAGAAAAAGACAACAGGAAATAATTTAAATAAAGACAATCTTGTTGGTGCATTGTAAATGTTGCATTGGTTAATTTTCTGTACCATTCGAATTTAAACTTTTGCACAATCACAAATATTACTTCTAACCTTCATCCTCAACTACACTGACCTTGTTCTCAATTACAATTAAAATCATTTTGCTATGGTTATAGCAGAGCATGAAACAACTATAAAATTCAAACTATTGTTCATTGATCAGAGTTACCTGCAGTGGCAAGAGAACCTTTTTTGCTTAGTGATAAATGTTAAAACTCAAGTGAGAGATCTGATAGTCAAGATTTGTCTTAATATTCACAGTAATTTGATTATTGAAGAAACAAGTAGATAATTTAATATTTTAAATATACACACACTTATGCTATAAAATCTTTGACCATGAGAAGATTTTACAACCAATGAAGCTAACTCAAAAACACTTATAGGTAAGCAATATTTGATCAACAAGAAAGCATTCTGATACTAGCTTATGTATGCATAAAATATGACTATAAATATATTTCATAAATACAATGGAATTAAAAAGTTATCCATTTATCTGTGACTTAAAAATAAATAACTAAAAACATTGTGGAATTTTAATTTGAAATTTAAAATAAAAAAATTCTATTTCTGTTATCAGAAGTGTTAAAAAAATGGCTAGTTCGCCCATCTCTATGTAGTAGACTCTTCTGGTTATATACAAAAACAGCATATGTACTTGGAAGAGCATGAATTCATCTTCCCCAGCTATAGGTTAAATAACAGAGCGGATGGGTCTCTCTTGCATTGAGGTAGCATTTAATATAAGAGAAGGAAAACTCTAAATTCAAGCTCAAGGTGAGCTGTCTGGAGACTGTGTTAGACTGCACAGTTTCTGTGTTATCAGTTCTTTTGAAAAGTGCAGCTGGTTCCACACAAGCCTTCACCACCATAATCAAATTATATCTGGATGGTCTAGTGGTTCAATTCTCAACTGTGAGGCCCTCATAAATCAAAATGAATGGGGAAAGTCCACAAGCGATAAAGTGTGACGTCGTCCCCTGGTCGCAGCGCCAACTGTGACGTTCTATCCTGGTCTACCACGGCACCAACTGTGACGTCCCCAAACAGCACCACTTGTGACGTCCTCGCCGCGGTGCCAGCTGTTTGCTTCTCGCTGCTCCGTTCGGGTGTTGCTGCTCCAAACGCGACGTCCGCCCGTCGCGTCAGTCTTGTTGTCTCGTCCTGTGACGACCAACTGGCTTGGTATCGGTCGCGGCACCCAAATGTGACGTTCTAACCTTTTGGTGATTCGGGTGGGAATCTGGTTAGATTTGATATCAGCCTCGTCGTTCCCAACTCGCTTCCAACGCCTGG